AACTAATTACTGCTACTGATAAATATATATACGAGTGAAATTCCTTATATTTCCAGTATATTAAGAGGAAATCGATCATCTGTTAAGATAGTGACCAGAACGTACGTAAATAATAGTATTTAATTCAGATGAATCAGCAATTTTATACACGCCAAGATCTCTCTTTTATGCAAAGTTGGGTTATACTGGGGGCCCATTGGGCCCCCAGTATGGGTTATGGGTTGGGTTTGGGTTATGGGTCTTTAGCCCAAAGCCCATTTGGGTTGGGCTTTGGGCCGAAGGTTTGGGCCCAATTATGGGCTTTGGCGCAGTCTATTCTTTATAGCGTTTCTTATTCTAATTTAAAATATTAATATACTTATAATCTTTATATATAGTAAATAAAGAGTAGTTAGCTTTTTACTAAGAAAGTTTTTTAACTAAAAGCGATTTTAGTGCTTAACTATAACTATAAGATATCTAGTAGACTATTAATATATAAGTGTAGTGATTTAATTCATTTTTAGTTTATAAAATAATCTTATTAACACTCTATAGAAGCTCCTAAGGCTCTTACGTAAATAAAGGTATTAATAGCTATACTCTTTAATAACTCGATTAGCTTTTTAGTTATAGCTAGTATATTCTTAGCGTAAGTAGTTAATCTTCTTCTATCTAGATTTTATAGTCGTTAACTTAAAGTAAGTATATTAATATAGGTATTTAATAGAATAGTTATATTTAAGGAAGAATATAGTAAGTAATCTATTAGTTCTTAGAACGAAGATATAATAACTTTTATAGTTACCTATCCTTAGACTATAGTTACCTCCGCCTAGAGTATCCCTAAGGGAGATATAATAGCTATTATTACGTAAAACTCCGCTAAATTATGATAAATCAATAAAAGAAATAAATTTATAATAAGGGTATATCTCTTATTAAGAATATTATACTAACTACAAACTCTTAGTACTACCTCTATATCCTATAATATTACTAGAATAATATATACGTCTTATTACGCTTAGTAGATAATATTCGTTTATAGCACTTTAAGATCGAAGGACCTTAACTAGATAAATATCTCTATAGTTCTCGTAGAACCGAAGTCAACCTCTAATACTAATTATCTAATAATTTTTATTAATAGAGAGACTTTTATAAGTCCTATAACGACTTCTTATATAACTAGAATTACTAAAGTGTTGATAACTAGGAGTATAGGAACTATATTTTCCGGAATCTTATAGCCGTTTTAGAATATCACTTTTTTAATTCTAATAATTAGACTAGGCTTTATATTACTTCTTACTTAATATAATTAGAAAACTACACTATTCCCTATATTTGCCTAATAAATATATTTAGCCCTATATAAAGGTTCTTAGTTTAGGTATTCACTAAATCGCTACTAATAGATTAGATACTAATAGCGAAGAGGATTTTTAGTATTCTATATTTTCTAAGTATATAAGGATAAATAGCGTTTTAATGTATATAATAGGTACGAATAAAAACTCTAATTCCTCCTCTTAATTATAATATATAACGCTATATATATCTAACGAAGCTAAATTAGGCGATAAGGACAAATATTCTATCTATTCTTTATATATAGTTTACGTCTCGTCTAAACCTATTAAAATAAGGGAAGCTTATCCTAAAGCTCCTTTTCTCGATCCTAGGGAGCTATAATTAGCTATTAAAAGCCCTAGGAGTAGATTAGCTCTCGCGCTTTATAATAAAGTATATACGATAAGTAAGGATAATAATGGATAAATTTATATAACGTAATTCACGGCCAACCCGTTAACACGGCCAACCCGTTAGTCCACCTCCATTACCAATTTTCTATTCAAGATAACTCCACCAAGAAAGTATAAATTCATCTCAAACTAGCGCTTCTTACAACGATTAATCTTATGCCCTAACTCCCCACACCCGCTACACCTTGGCGGAGCCCTCTTGCGTGGCAAATCTGCCTGACTAGCTGATTCGCCTGCCTCACGCGATACCACCGGGCTATCTTCAACTGGCTGGTCTGGCTGCTGAGCTAGCAGTTGGCCCTCTGCGATAGATAGGCCTCCTTCATGTGCTATTTGTCGATTCGACCGTGTACGTTTCTGGCGTTTCTTCTCGTTTGCTCTACGTAGACTAGCGTTCTCCTGCGCTAGTATCGCAGCGTTATACATCGATAAATAAGCACCTTTGATAATCTGATCCACAGCAGTTTTTGAGGGTGACGGAGGGCTATTTGACCGCTGTCTCAATAGATTCTTGAGTAAGGTAGCCTGCTTTTGTAGCTGAATCACTGTTTTAGGCGTTTTTGGTGTGAATTGGCTAGATCTACTGCTTGGTCGGCTTCCTGGCGGTGTTGGCGTTCGGAGCGAGATATTGAGCTTAGAAAGCACACGCTCTGGGTCAAACGGTGTAAGACCAGTAGCAGCGAAGCTAGTCTGGATAGTCTGCGGTTGAAACGCCTCGATACGCGCCCGAGGGTAATCTGCGAGAAAGTCGAGCTTATCGATGTGGTTATAGCCATATCGGGCGAGGTCGCTCACGAAGCGACCGTATGCGCGCTTCAACGGAGCAAAACACGCAACATCAAGCGGTTGGAGTAAATGCGAAGAATGCGAAGGCATACAGAGCGGTATAATATTATTCTCAGCGCAGATTCGGTCGAATTGAGGTGTAAGGTGGCTACCGTGGCCATCAAGAATTAATAGCCGATATCGACCTCGTACGCGCGAATTCGTATATGGAATGAAGTGCTTCTGTAGCCAGCGAAGGCCTATCTCATCGGTAGTCCAGCCGTTATTCGAGACCTCAATCCGCCAATCGCTAGGCAGATTTGATTCGAACCAGCCAGCAATATAAACCTTGCCTTGAAATATCACACATGGCGGTAGTGCGTAGCCATCGGCGCATATAGCCTCGATAGCAGTAACCCATTCGCGGTTTCCTGGCTGTAAGATAGAGCGCCGACCGTAGTATTCAGCTCGCGTAACCACCTTCTGTGACGATATAAGGCCCATCGCAAAGCCCGTCTCATCAAAGTTATAAATATCCTCTAGTTGTATCCCATTCTCATCGACCACGCGCTTTACGGTATTAAACCACTCTCGTATCGACTTCGGATCTTCATTCAGGGCGCGCTGGTAATCGTAGCGTCTCGAGAAGCGCGAGCGGATCTCTTCGCGGCGTTTAACGAAGGATGATGTCCAATTCACGCCTACAGTAGGCGGAGGGTGAATCCCACGAGTGGCCAGTAGGATATTAGCCATCTCTCTCACAGTAGAGGGCCTAGGTGCTGCACCACGCGAATCCATAGAGATGATCCACTCAGTAAGCGAATCCTCTTCTAATTGTGTCATTTTATGGCTATGCCAGCGTTTATCGACGCGTGGAGACGTTCCGGTAGCGCGGTCGTGGAGGGTAGTGTAGGGCATATCGTATAGCTTCGCTGCGGCGTAGAGAGATTTAATTTGGCCCTTTTGCACCGCCTGAAGGGCTAATAGGATCCTGCCCTCCTGCTCAGCAGATTTATGCCAGGATTCAGAGCGATTTGGTGGCATGGTGGGTAGTTGAAGATGGTAGGTAGGACTGGACGCGCGATTTCTGGTGGGGCTAACGGGTTGGCCGTGTTAACGGGTTGGCCGTGAATTACGTTAACTAATCTAAATTTACCTAATATAAGAATACCGAGAATTCGTTCTCGAGGATATTAAAGGACTTAAGGGAAGTATCCCTATGCTCTCGAAAGAAAGCATCGCTAGCCTATTAAGTATAGTAGAGAAGCTTAAAGATACCGTTAAATTGACCAAAGGAATCAGTTATATTTAGCACGTAAGTGTAGGGAAGAGAGGGAACGATTATTACTAGACAACTAATAGCCCCTAATAAGCGCACTTTATTGCTCGACAAAATAGTGCTCGTTTCAAAAGGCAGGAATTACTGGATTTCCCGCTATAAAGAGCATAGTCAGGCTTAGGCGAATCCCTCTTAATTCTGGCACCGGGCGATAGCAGCTCCTAAGCATCCGAATTCCACCCCCATAAGGACATAATGGTTTTTATGATAAATTGGAAGATCAAGAGCCGTCATTAGGCCTAGATGATATAACCCTGAGAAAGCATATCTAGTCACGGATACTGCATCATGTAGTCGAGGGGCTCATAAAATGCCCAATTGCTCTAAAAGTCGGATGTACTGGATTGGGCAAGCTTACGACTACTTTCCACGCTTTCCACATCTAGAACACGTCTGCCTAAACTCCCTAGACAGAGGCGGTACAGCGATCGTAGTGGCGTCCAATGACTGCCTCTCAATCGTGATTTGTAACATAAGCAAATATATGGTCTGTGCGGCGATCAGCAAATTGCCTGGGTGGAGCCAAGACCTGCTAAGCTCGTTTTCCGGAAAGCTTGACCCGCGCAACCAATCCGATGCGGCGGGTGACATTCTTTTCCTTACACTGCCAAAGTCCACACACAAAACTGGGAAAGAATAGCCTGGTATCTGGCAAACATGATTTATTTCACGATCCATCAAACGAAATACGATAACGAACAGTACACCAAAATTACAACGCTACAGGCGAAAGGAAGCCGGTCCACTATTTCTCCCGAAAGAAATGTCTCGTGACTATTCGCTGGCATGATCTGTCTTGGAGAGTGCACCGTCGCCATTAAAACTGACACGTAGTATGTGATGAGATGGAAATAAGCAGCACAGGAAGATTTCCCGTAGGATTTGCGAAGCAGACGTATCAGTGGTTATGGGAGCTGCGAAAGACTATTGTACAAGTGTTGTATTTTTGAGAGAAAGAAAGGGGCTTTCAACTAAACTACATATTATAATACTGTTATTTCTTTTTTCTTTTCCGCTATTAACTTGCTTCTGTGAATAATGCACACAAAATCCAGGAGTTTCTTATGCTGCTTATCGTAGTCATCAAAGGTCTGATATTTTCCATTGTCATTCATTGCAGTTGATCGCTTGACAAAGCCAAAGTCGGACTAGAGTTTCGTCTTCCATGAACCCTTCGCCCGCTTCAGATTCCCAATGCCACGGGGAACCTTGCACAGCAGATACTCAAAAGCCATCATCAACATACGATTCAAGATATACAAAACAACGGAAACCCCAATCGCTCCCACGCTGAACCAAGTCCACGGTCGAGATCCAAGCCACATCAAGACCTTCGCGTCCGCTCTGTGCCAACTGCTACTCTCCAAATCGGTAATGTAGGGAGTTAATTCAGTTTGATTGACGACTCCTAGCGTCGGCGAAGGTAGAGAAGCCTGCTTAAGCAAGTAGACCTTAGCAACCATAGTCAAGAACATCGGTCCAGCAGAGATCATAATAGCACAGTATGGCTGCCATCGAGCCCAGGCCCGAGTGATAGAATTATAACTAGGTAGCTTGGCGATAGCGGCTGCATAGACAGGATGGTTGGCGGATGTTATCATGAAGTCATTTGTGACGCCTGTCGGTAGCGTGGACTTGAAGAGAGCGTATTCAGTAACCACATCGCGTTCGAGCTTGTCAATTGGAATACTTTTATTGCACCAAGTATCCATATCGAGATAGATTCCGCCGTAGTGATATAAGACGAAATAGCGAAGAGAGTCGGCACGCTGGATGGGGAAGGCGTAGTTGTCCCAAATATCCACAAACCAGGGATAATGGACGGAGAGAAAAGCGCGAGTCGATTCGTCAGTCCAAAGCTATAAAAGATGATGCAAGTTAGAAAGGTCTTAACGTGCTAAAAGTGAATACGCGTTTCCCTATATCTTAGCCCTTCTTGAATGTTCAGTCATTCTCACCTTGTACTCAAAATCCCCATAAGCCTCCTTGCAGCTTGCCTGTGATTTAACCCATTTGTCTGGAATTGTGTTCGTAGCAGCAGTTTGATGGAGTATTCGCGGAATATGGCTTGATGTATTCATTTCGGGCCAAGTGTCTTCCAGGTCAGAGAGAGTGACTTGTGGCTTGAAGAGCTCCTCGTTCCTTCGTAAAAGAGTGATGAGAGGCTCCAAGTCATGGATAAGTAGCCAGATAAGCATGACGTCCAAAAGGAGGAGGAAAATCGTTGATTTTCGAGGCCTTTTGATACGCATAGCCTTTCGTCGCTGCTCTCGCGAGACGTGTTCAGCACTCCAACTCAAGCGTTCCTCATCGTAGGACTTGTAGCTGTTGGTGCTACGGCCCTGGAATAGTAAATTATAATAAGGTGGCCGGATATCAATCATAATGACCAGTATTGGAGCTCTCAGTATATTGAAATGGTCTCAAGACTTAGAGGTAGTATTTGTGCATTTAGGTCCCAGCCATTGCAGACGAGAAAATGTGCGGATTTTGTCACAGTGGGGCCTGCGAGACCCGGATGCACGTATTGCCAAGTATTACCGCTATTATCTTTCGATCCCCACGGAACATGATAACCACGTTTTCGGCCCCGTTTCCACCGCTTCCTGTAAGAGGCTAAGCTTTCTTTGGCCATGGACGCGTAATCCCTAGATTCCGGTGTATGCATCTTTGGTCCCGTTTTCCTAAACCGACCAACCCCTCCGTCAACCCATGGAATACGCACCTTGTATGTTATATAGCTAGCTTGCAGGCAGACATCCCTAGGGGCTCTACACTATAACAGAAAAGCCCAATAAAGACAGAAGCACTCTTTGAAAAACCTACCAGACTTCTGAAAATACGTCTATCTGCTCCTTCAGGTACTGGGTATAGTGGCCGTATCCAGTGACGCCTTCGCAGATGCACCACAATACAATAATTACATATACCCGAAATACAATACTTGGACCTGCCCAAAGTAGAATTGAAACTCCGCTGTGTGTCAGAGCCTGATCTGATACGCCGCCCTTGGCGAGGCACACGACTATTGAACCGGTTTTGCCGTTCATCCGCGATCCCCACTCCGCGCTAGTGCACAGCCTCGAACCATTCGCCAAATCCACTGCGCACGGTGGACCGTATCACTAATGAATAACAGACGAAAACTGACAAGACCTGTGCAAAGAAAGGAATCGACGATCAGCAAACTGCTTAATATGATCAAGTTTCCTGGTTCTTCTTGGCAGTGTAATGGATCATAGAGCCGGTCACGCTGTCCAATCAGCGCAGGTTCCACCAAGTTGGCTTGCGTCACCTTGTCTTCCGCCGATCAGTGCTAAGAACAACCCTTCGCTATAAGTTTCTCTTTACCTTTGGTACACGGTCGTGTGGCATGCTTTTTGTTGTCTCCAATCCCCGCTTGAAAATTATGGTGGTTCTTTCCATTCTCTTAGGTGGGACGGCCGCCTTAGGTGCCGATGCAATGCTTGTTTTTCCCGATACGGAAACCCAGGTTAGAGCATTTGGGGACGGCATTGTCGATGTCCATCCGATAGCTCTCGAAAACATGCGTCGTGCAGTAGTTGAATTACCATGTTCTGAATGCCCGTTTCGCGATGTTAATGAGGAGGGTGCTATCAAATGGATTTACGGTATATCGTCAACGATGGTATGTCACACTGAATCAAACCAAAGAGGGAAAAAGGTAACGGACACCTGCTAATGAGAATAGACGCTCGAATTTACCATTGAAGAAAACAATTTGCTAGCCAACGGCCGTCGGACCTTTCCTCCCCCGTCTTCTCCCACCACCTGCTCAGTCCGACAAATGGGAAATGCGAAAGGCTCGGGCAACATGCCTCTCTGCTACAACATGGAGGTAATACCCTTGTTGGCCCCATCCGAATATCTGGGTATCAAGTTGTTTGATATCCAATTAAGCGTCCTCGACTTAGTGAGTGACGTTTTCCTGGTGGATGCCGTGACGGTCACCCTCATCCAAGATTCGGCGGGCGACTTGTACATTGCAAAGACGAAGGTTGACAAAGGCGCTCTCTCGGCCCGCTTACCATATAAAGCGGATCATGGCAAGAATAAGTGCTTCCAGGAAATCTTTTCCGATCGCATCAGGGGTTTCCTGTTGGCTGTGAGGGAACAACTCCTTGGAACAGTCTCCAAAGCCCGCCATGAGGACTGCCATACCATGCGAAAGGGCACGTTGGACGACACTCACACGCAAATCGAACTCGAAAATTACCAAAATCAGGTAAGACTTAAGAGTCTTAGAACCACAAGTCCCGTGAACTACGATAACTGCCACATTGATTTCGAGAAGACCGATCGCACTTCTCACCATCAATACAAGCGTCGGCTTACGCGGCTTGTTGAACATGTTCACACTTTGTTTTTCCTGGTGCGCTTCATCGCGCTACCGGCCATTTTGGGCGTCATGGGTGGTTTCGCTGCCGTTGCCGTTAGCATGTTCGTTGGCCGGACTCTGAGTTTCCTTTGGAGATGTTACCGCGGCTTCAACACACATGACCAGACTGCTTCCCAAAAAGATGTTGACGCTTGCGAGAGGCAGGACTTGATAACGGACTCCTCAGAGAAAGCACTCCCCAAATGCATGGATCGTCGCAGAGCTGGGGGGGGCTATCAACGACTATTAAAGAAACTCTATTTTCGATGAATTTGAAGGTAATTTTCCATTCTTGATTTGAAATTGGTTTTCCCTTTGGCCTAAGATCCTCAGTCATGGCAATGTCCACAGGCAGCGCATATTGATGGCGAAGACGAGCGCTTTTAACGCATAAATGGCGGACCAGTTCAAAATCACTCTTCTGTAAATGCACCTCCCCGCGGGTCAATGTTCGTGAAAGAGAAACAGTGACTTCAAGGACATTCGGCGCTCGAGATTGTATGTTGGGTATCTTATCTATAACACTAACGCCGAAGCAGCTGAGAATCGACGCTTGGTCCTATTTTGCAAATGCATTTTGGAATAGTCCAGACCCATGTACACTAAGCATGAATACACATGATAAGTCTGGTGAATGGTACTAGATCTGATATCCAAGAAAACCTAGCCACAAACATAGAATACTGTCCGAAGACTGGTTCTATCGCTCTGAGTTCTTAACCGGGTGAATGAAGATAGCCGGAAGACAAAGAGGGCGATTTTCCTTTTCCCACTACACGCTTGATTAGTGTAGCTCAAAACTTGTTAATGACCACAGATCGCTCACCTCTTCTGCGCCATCATATCCCAGCCAGGCACGATAGAGCCTCTCAGCGAAGGATGAGCGCCACATAAAAGATGGGTACAGGAGGATGTCATCGCACGACTTATGACCCCACGCACTATCGAGGTCCCCATCGATCTTCCCTGGTTTGTCTGAATTAGCGCGACGATCCAGCTCTGCCGGATCTCACGCCCGCTCATGATAAATCGGCTGTGGAACTTGAACAGCTTTGAGGCCATAATACATCGCCCATGAGATAGGCATCATTTCAGATGCGAGACCTAATCCCTTGCATGCCTGGTCCTTGTGCATGACACGCAAAAGCCGCGTTGAGAGTCGTGACATTGCGCCAACGGTCGCGCGTCGCGGTGTGTGCATCCGCTGTTGGAAATGGTAGATTTCTTGGCCCCACGGCCAATTCACTCCAGCAGGATCAAAATGTGGGAGCCAGGTGATCAGATCTGCTTCTTCGCCAACGCCCCAGTCACCTTCGTCGTCATCTGGACTGGCCACTGGAGGCACAGGGCTGTGTCTTCCAAGGTCAATGTCTTCGGCAGGCGGAGGACCCCAAATGCTATCTCGTTTCACCATATCCTGGTTCACTTTCGTGGCAAACTCCTCCCATGTGCCATGAATTGCTGGGATATATAAATATGAGTTTCGCTCCCAGAGGTGCTTTCTGGGTTGGCGCCGCGCGAAGTCGGTGGCTTGGGTCACTAGCCGATACAGGTGGCCAGTGTAACGAGCGTCTATCTCAAATTGCCAAATGTAGTCGTATTGTGGATGAAGTAGTGAAAAAAGCTGGACTGGCTGGAAATACCGCAGAACCGCGCTGATCAAATTGTGAGAAGATGAATCTTAATGGTCTTGTATAATGAACATACTCATGGACCTTGATTTTGGGATACCATGTCTCTAGTATCTTCGTGTTGAAAAAGACAGCGAGCTCGCCCAGTTCTTGAGGCAGGTGCTTTGCCTTGAATTTGTCCATGGCAACGGTGTCCATGGAGTTTGGCAATTCAGTGTCTTTGCAATCCACCAAAAGAACGACCTCATATTCACCGCCGGAATGGAGAGCCAGCTCCATGATTATAGCTCGAATGAAATGTAGGTCGTCATCCGTGTATCGCTTGCTCAGCCAAGTGCGCATGATGACAGCTGTCCGCGGTTGAATCCTCGGCTCGGGGTCGCTGAGATTAAACTCGTCGCGCATATCCGTATCCCATTGCTTGTCAAGAGCCTATATTTTCTCCTGGGGCTGAGTGTTTCGAAACCGGTCTTTGTTACGCTGCAGGCAGTCCTGTTGTAGGTTGGCCCAATTCACGGCGTCCCATTGCAGTTCGGCCGCATGATTGAATCCATAGGAACCGTACCAGCTATTGTCGCTCCTGCACTTATGCCCGTATGCACCGTACCGCGAGACCGAATCCGCATAGAGGCCCCGATCAAGACCCCAGGCTTCGTAGGATCCGAAGATTGGGGGCGGGAAGCCCGATGCATTCCAATGATATCCGCTCATCGTCGTGTTTTCATCGTGCCGGTCCATCACGCGACCATAGGGCCCGAGGCAAGCTCGATGTGCTCCCTGCCACGTTGAGTTCCACGACGCGGAATTGTAATCAGGGTATGGATTGTTGATGATTGGTCGGTCATGCGTACGTTGTCCTGCAAACTCGGTCGGAAAGGGGTAAGAATGTCTGTTAGTGGGTCAGAACACGCGTGACAAGGGGAATTGGTGTGCTAAACCGGAAGAGGTTGAGGGAGAGCCCGCGACGCCCCTGCCATGACGCGGCGAGCAGCCGCAGCAGAAGAATAAATACCACTGCCGCGATAAGGAACTGCCGCCTTGTAGCGCAAAATCGCCTGCGTTGGACCCGGAGAGAATCCATTATCGTTTCATGCTGGCTCGTAGGAGTGAATCGGTAGGAGCTTTATACCAGTCGACCAGGGGGAAGGTCGACTGACTGGGTATTGCGCAATGGCTGAGGGTTCGGAGTTGCGCGTGGGACCCCTAAAGCTTAGCCGTCTCCACCAGGCACCGAAATTCGGGACGCGGGTTTGGATGCCTAATGGCTAGCATCGTCTAGGCGGTTGCCTATTTTGACATCCCGCCATTAAAATTTATTGAAGTTTTAGCGCAGTTGGTTCCCGCTCCCATATAATAAAACATAGGGTATAGTATTGCAAAGTCAGATTAATTCAGAGGCAAGAAAGTCTAGAAAACTAGCACGTCCGCTGAAAAATAAAAACCTGGCTAGTCCGTCTCTCGTAGACGCATTCCTATATAAATATCTGCTGGACTTCTGTAAAGAAGAAATGCCGTTGTGGTTGATAGCCAATGGTGGAGTTGTAGAAGCAATTTGTTCACGAAGGATACTTTTCGAATTTTTGGCACGTGCATAAGGTACATGAAAGTGTCGTGGCGAGCGAGCCTATGCAAGTCAGAAGCGATAGTAGGTCCTTCAAGCGGAAGATAATCATGCTATGGTGCTTCAACGTCCATTCAGCAAAAGAAGCCAAGGACACGGTGAATGGGTGATTCTCCAATGAACCCCCATACTGAGCGGAAACAAAGCTGGAATGGCGGCAGTGAGTACGTAGGGTCGTCCAAATGATCCACAAATGTCGCGGTATCCTGGATTGGATACGAAAATCGTAGGGGTATGCTACTGGTCATATCCATGTGTGCATTGGGGGGATAGTGCTGATTGATCGGAGATCACACTGAGCAAGGCATCCAAGGGGTGCCTGTCGGGGGGCGCGGGGTTTGTCGTTCACCGTTAATATTTATGTATGGAGACAGAGCCAGTTATCAGCGGTGAATTGTTATCCACGTCCAGCTGAGTGTCTTGTACAACTTGGAGATCATTCTCATAGTTACCACTATCCAAGTAGATTGAGTAACTGTCGCGCTCATGACCGTCTGACACATCCACAGACATGATATTTTCCTGCAGATCTCGTGGGATGAAGTCGTCATCCTACGTGTCGATCATCTGGTGGTTGATGGTTAAAATGCGATAACCTTGAAGGTATTGGAGTCGCAATGACCCCCAAATACAGGGCCACGTCCTCGCAGCTAAATGGCTTCATCCACAGTACACGAACACTTTGTACTCACTGCTGACGCGGCCTTCCCAGTTCCAGTAATGGGACTATGTTGTTGCATACTTCCAGTTTGCTAATATATCAGTCCATATGCTATTATTAGCTATATTGTGTTTTGTTTCCCGATGGTCTGTCTTCCCCTCGGTCGCTGCAGGGTGAAGATCTTGGCGATCATCCGCAGCCATTTCGCTAGCGCGTTCCTGAATCAACCCTGTATTTGATTATTCGATCGACTTACGACGGCAATAGCTCAGAGTCAAAGTGGGTTTTTGAAGAATGTCGCCACCAAGGGATTCCGTTCGCCAAAAATGAGCAAATTTTGCAGCGCGCGTTCCCTGTGCATTATGAAAGCGAAGAACGTAAGTGCCCTGGACGTAAGACAAAAAAGGCGCAGTACGACAGAAACGGCGCAGTAGGGTTGACAGGGGCAGATGCACTATCGCCCCTGTTTCTCTGTTACCCCTATTTCGTGCATCCCTTTATGTACAGGGATTTTCCCTTTTTATTCTCAACCTACAAGTGTCAAGTTCGGTATTTAGGCAATTCCACAGCACTTCATTTGCCTGTATTTATATTTTCCATTCGGTATATGGTGTCCCAACGTTTAGATATTTTCTTCTATTCCATTTCAGATTGCGGGACAACATCAAGCGCGAGAGTATATAAATAAGTCAGTGTTGCGCCCATACCCACTGTTTCTCGGTGTTAAGGAACATTATAAGCTCACAAGTGGCACAGATCTCATCAGGATATGTCAAAGCCTAACTCTACCGAAGCTTTGCCTGGACCAGCTCCCTCATCACACCCTGAGGCACCATATCACGTCCTGTCTAACAAGCAAAAATGGAATCTTGTCATCTTCGTCTCCTTGGCGGCCTCGTTCTCGCCGCTGTCTTCGAACATATATTTTCCCGCGATTGACACCATATCCAAGGATCTAGGAGTAAATGCGTCCCTTATAGCCCTTACCATCACGGTATATATGGTGGTTCAGGGTATTGCTCCTTCTCTCCTAGGTGCCCTCTCGGATGCTTGCGGCCGTCGCCTCACATTTACAATAACTCTCACCATTTATACGGTGGCCAACCTCGCCCTGGCGTTCACCTCCAACTATCCAATGTTGATGGTACTGCGTGGCCTTCAGGCGGGAGGATCTGCAGCGACTATTAGCATTAGTGCTGGAGTCATTGCTGATATTGCTTGCCCAGAAGAACGCGGTCGTTTCATAGGGACAAATGCTGGCGTTCGGTATGTAAAGAGAAAGCACCCCTCCCTAGAGGAATATCACCCATTAATATTTCAACAGCATGACAGGTCAAGCAATTGGCCCAATCATTGGAGGCGCGTTGGATAGCCTATGGGGCTTTCGAAGCATATTTTGGCTGCTTTTCATCCTAAGCGTGATTGTCCTTGGCGCGCTCCTAATTTTCCTTCCGGAAACCCAGCGTAGAATAGCAGGCAACGGCACCACCGTTATATCTGGTTTCCAGAAGCCATTCATTTATTATATCAGAGCCCCATCACTCTGGGAAAACAATGCTGGAACGGGCAGTCCCTCGAAGCCTCCAGCACCACTATCATTCAAGAAAGCGCTCAGTCCTCTTGCCTACCTCCTTGAAAAGGACATCGCCGTGCTTTTGGCCTGGGGCGCCGTGGCTTATACAGCATGGAGCATGGTGACATCTTCTACCACAACAATGCTGCTGCTCGGCTTTCCTTTTCTTGCACAATGGCAAATTGGGCTATGTTTCCTCCCAAACGGGCTCGGCTGTATCTTAGGCTCGCTCAGCACAGGCTGGATTCTGGACCAGAGCTTCAATCGTGCCCTGGTGCGATACAAGGAGGAACACGGCATCCCCCCGGAAGAACGCTTTGTTCATAGGCGCGACTTTCCCTATGTGCGGGCCCGTCTACGCCTCATGCCTATCTTTAGCATTGTTCTCGTGATCTCTTTGGCGCTTTACGGACCAAGTTTTGAGTTCAATGACTTACGGCAACGGTTTGGTCCAAATTTAGCCGCCCCACTCATCCTTCAATTTCTGATTGCCTTCTCGGCGACTGCTATATTGAACATCAACTCAACTGTGCTGATTGATTGCTTCCCGGAGCGACCTGCGAGTGCGACAGCACTCAACAACTTGTGCCGATGTCTACTGGGGGCGGTGGGAGTAAGCGTCATCCAGCCATTGATTGGTACCACAAAGGCGATGATAGCGTTCTTCATTGTGAGCGGTGTCGTATGTCTGTTCACTCCACTGATTTGGGTGGAATGGAAATGGGGGGAGAGGTGGAGGCAAGAGAGAGAAGAGAAACTTGCTCAAGATCAAGGCGAGCTCTAGACTCTCCATGGTTTAATATCTATGCGACGCTGTATGGACGCGAGACTTCTTGAAATAGAGATTCGTCGTACGTGGATAATATGTGTGATAATTAGAATACAAATACTGTATATAGTCTACGTTGAACTCCGCTGGTGTTCACCCACTTTACTAACAAAATGTACCCGGCCCTAAACCGGAATGGTACTAGCGCCCGCTGGTATTCAGGGGCAAACCCGCTGGTATTCACTACTTACTGTTAGCGATATTAACAATATATTTTTATTATTTTTTTGATATTATCTTATTCTTTAATCCGTGAAATATGCCCCAATCTAGATTTAGTACACCATAGTCTATGGTTGGGGGAGAAACTGACATCTTTCCACCATATGTTAAGATCCTACGCGAATGGCGGGTGGCCCTTTACACTACCCACGGCAACTACTACATTCGCCAGAATCTGGCCCGGCATTTACTTGAGAAGCATCGAACACCAAGTGGGCAGCGTAGGAGAATTGAATCCAGCGCTCTATTACAAGATGTGGCCGCTACGAAAATTGATGTGGTATAGCCACCTGATGGCACGGAGGAGATTCATGGGCTGCCGACCGTGTTAGGGTATCTCTACCATTTTGCATAATGTGCCTTCCGCACGACTAGCACTGATCGGATACGACAACACTACAATCAGCGGCACCAGTGGCAAGTTTCGCAGCAGGGCGCGATGCTATGGCATCAGGCCTATATTTAGACATTATTTTGCCAGTCGCAAGCCCAGCGCTACTTCGCTGTTGTTCTAATAGACTGGGTCCACCGGACCGCTACCCCATAATATATATATCTCCACGCTAATGCACCCACCAATGCACCACCCTCTACCTATAAGCGATCTTCTTCCTGCCCTATTTCTGATTAATCATAGGACGATATTATGCGTCGATACCGACAGCGGCAGTCTTAGCCGCTCCGAGATTGTGTCCAGGCTGTATGATATATCTCTGAGGTCACACCGTGGATGAAGCGGACTAGGATCTATATCTATCTCCAGGGACTTAAGCTAAGCGAACTCGGTCTCAGCTACCGACTGCCTAAGCAGGAGCAGGAAGAATCACTCTTTATGATCTATAAGAGTGTCGGACGAGTCCTCGAGAATGCTATGACCGTGCTTATATATAACTAGGACCTAGAAACCCGGCATCTTAGTCGCCGAAACGCACGGCTCCTTAATACCTTTACCTAGGGAGAAGCCTCTCAGGACCCTATCTCGGACCTACAAAACGAGTAGTCCCGCCGGAGATATATCGATACCTAGCAGCGACTGATCTGCTACTAGGACCGAGTGGTCGAGCAGGGCTAGCTCCGAGATACCCTATTCTAACCGAGCGACCGACAACGTAAGGCATAGCTTAAGGTAACTTAGGTCACGAGCGAGCTTATTAGCCTTGTCGACCCAGACCGAGAAGGCATACACAAAGCGACTCTCCGCGACCGACTCGACCGGGCAGTCCTGGAGTTTAGCCTTGCTATTATTCAACACTCCGTTCCCCGTCGCAAGTTTGATTCCGTCCTTATTTTATACGCTGCCGTGCGGTACTAGAGTCCCACCCAAGGTGCATGGCTAATAGTCGGGAATTATATCTCTATTCTATCCTAGTTAATCTACGACTGTTAAATAGTGGTCCTTGCGTATATATTGGCGGAGACCACAGGTGGCCGAGAGGCCGAAATTGGTGCGACGATCGTGGATATCCGGAACGAGTGGTTATTAAATGACACCGAGGGCCCCGTGGCTAAATTACTCGAGAATCGGCTACTGGGGTTTAGCATCAGCTAGACCGAGGTTCCACCGATATAGATTCGCTGGCATGCGGACGGCGAGACGCTAGTGTGGTCGGACGTTATCTTTTATCTATCCGACTTACATCAAATTATCTTCTAGAAGATTTCTGAGGCTCGGCGAATTTTTGACGAAGAGCTATGCCTTAGTGGCCGTTCTAGCCCTACGTCTGAGATCCCTATGCTAGATCTATGGCTCCTCGTCGACAACTGGGATGCCATCGCGCCCGGCTAGTCATTCCTGACGGATTCGCGGAACGTATGCCACCTAGCCCCGTTATAGGACTGGTTGATCTCCTAGGTGGGTAGGACCCCCATTCTCTTCCGCACGTTCTGGTCGCGGACCGCCGAGGGGCATTGGGTGGTGTCCGCGGATACCGCGCAGCAGTATGAGGATGGGGTGCAGCGTTTCCTTCGAGCACTCCTCGTCCCCTTCTTTATTGGGTCGGGTCAGCAGGGGCGTCGTATGGAGTTCATTGGGCTCCGGTGGAGGAACACGACTTTAACCACTCGAGACTTATTTCTCCACGATGGGCAAATGCTATTTATCCTTAGCTACCATAAGTCCCAGAACCAGAACAATGCGTCTCAATGGCCGGTTCGCTTCCTACTCCTTAAGGTTGTATAGCTTGTGACCCAGTACCTCGCTATGATCCAACCATTCCGCGATTTTCTCCAGCACGAGACGCAGTAGCCCGGCGCCGTATCTAATTACCTCTAGTCCTATGGCCCTAATCTATAGGCTGCGGATGCCATGACTCGGATTATAGTGAATGCCAACAAGCTAGTTCTTGGGAAGCATATCCACATCTAGGCCTAGCGCCAGATCACGGTGGGTATCGCCCGACGGAAATTCGCTACTGTCGAAGCCAATCTCCTTATTGAAGAGAGGGACGATGGCGAGGAGACGGATCCCGCGCGAGGGAGTATATCAGACGCACTACACTAGTAGGCAAGCTATACCCCATCTACCGGTAATTGGGTATATAGAGGGACGGTGAACTTCCGTAGTGGGTTAACTAATGCTGGGCTCTAGGAGTTTCGATATATTAGTTGGCTCTAGCATCAGTTCGTGCGTGATCCTCTCCAGTTTCAACCAGCCCTCGCTATGCCACACAAGCGTGCCGAGCCGGCCACGCCATAGGAATGGGAGGAAGGAGATCATTCCCTACGTGGTAGCCCGCGCAGCACTTCTAGTAGGACCCCTAGTAGTCGAAGCGTAGTCGGCAGCGCAGAAACCCGATCGTCCGCTACCCTATTTAAGCGACGGCGCGATGATGACGAGACCCCTATCGCACGGCGTATTACCCGACGCGAGGCCCCCGCTAGGACCTGGCGGCGATGGCGAATAGACTAGGCGTATGAGGTTCTCTAGCGGATGTACGGCGTGCACGCTTAGTATCGGTCCCGCGGGCAGCAACAAGCGATGGAATATATCTTGGCGGGCGTGGGCTAAGTCCTGGCTATCCTACGAACTAGTGAGGGTAAGAGTCTATTATACCTTCTCCCTTATTAGCTACCCAGGGCTAGCACCACGGTGCTAATCCTTCCACTAGTGGTGCTCAAGGCCGAGATATAACGCCGATGCGCAGAGGCCGGGGTTGATGCCTATATCTAGGACGCGCAGTCGAACCTAGATCATTTACACTCCTGCCCACTTATTGTCGTCGGGGTTGAATAGGCAGTGCGGCCTCGGTTTCGGCAGTTTCTGAATCGCCTTCACGTTGCGAATGAACTCGACTGGGTTGTGTTCGACGAGTGTCATCTCGCGGTGACCGCGGTGTTCTACCGGCCCGCGATGGCCTTACTCCCGCTGTTGCGGGATTTGGCTTATTAGATGGTTTTCCTAATAGGCACCCTGCCGCCGTCGATGGTGTTTGGGTTCGAACAGGCGATGTTGCTATGTGGTGCGCGGATGATCCGTAGCCCTACAACGCGTCGGGATATCACCTTTTGGGTTAGCCACTGCCCCCCTAATTCTGATCTTATCTAGGACTTTGCACTTCCTGGAATCCGCGAAGCGATTGCAAGCCTTGATCGTGCTGGGCGTGCTATTATCTACTGCTGCGTGAGAGGCGTCGCGGATAAGGTTGGGCGGGCCCTCGATGCGCCGGTCTACCACTCGCAGTCTGGTAGTGTTAAGGAGAAGGCCTAGGTCCTCCAACGCTAGCGGGATGGCGAGCCGCCGTATATTGTGGCGATATCGGCGTTTAGCATAGGGATCGATCACGCGGCGGTTCGGTGGGTGGTTCATATCAGGGTCCCCTAGGACTTGATCAGCTTTATATAGGAGGTCGGGCGGCTTGGACGAGATAGGGCCAGGGGGCGATCGATCATTCTAGTACCTCGTTAATAGAAGAGTGCTCTCACCGACGGCAGTGGACGACCGCTGAGTGCCGCGGAAGCCACCATATAGAGATATATCAGTGCTACTAGTTGTTGGGTGTTTGAGCTATCTACCTTCCTGGACGAGCGCGGCAGTCCCTGTACCCCCACGGCGCTTTTATGTGACTGCTGCCAGAATTCCGGTACGGTCCGTTTGCCGGAACCTTCTGATATCGCGGATGCCTCGGTTCGAGGGCCGGATGTAGCGGAGGTTGAATCTGACGACTCGAGCGATTTACGGGCTGGGGGCGAGCTACTTCGATCTCAGATATAGAGGCGGGCGCGTGGGTTAGCGGATTACATCGCGTCCCTAGAGGAGTGGCGCGGGATATATATGATCTACTATCATCTCCCTCGTCCAGCATCCAGGTAGGCTTTGCACGCGCGCCATCGACTAGCGAATTGCCCGCACCTATAGCGGTATGACTACTTCGATGCGAAGAAAAAAGCGCAGTCCTGGGGTTAAGCGCGGGGGGGATGGTTCGAGCCGTATAGTAGTTGCTACCGATGCTTTAATTCGCAAGTGGTGTGTGATCCAAAGGGACTAGATAGGTGCTAGTTTAGGGACCTTGTGATGCCGCTCTACTAGGCTATCTTCTAGAAGAAAGGGTGGGTCCGGGAATTTCTCGGCGGACTAGGCGGTGGTCACGTTATAGGCGACGAGGCGGCGTATATATTATGGCTAGGGTTGGAACAGTCGGTGTTTGGTGAACGTGCATCTAACGCGATCGTTGTGGGCGATTCGGTCCTGTGGTAGATAGGAAAGGTGCTAATATAAATTTGATAGGTCGGCAAGG